CCGGCTGCTGACCCCGTGACCAGGGTCCCGGCTGCTGGCCCCACACCCAGGGCTCCAGCTGCTGGCCTTGGCCCCTGGCCGAGACACTGCTCCTGCCCCTGCCCTCAGCTATGGCCCCAGCCTTGGCCCCCCTTACTCGTGTCTGCGTCCCCGCCTCCTGAAGCCATGGCCCCACTCCTGGGGGTGGGGACAGGGGTAATGGGGGGCACGAGGTAAAAAGTTTGGGAACCAGTGCACTATTATTAGTTGAATAAACTGAAATGAAGAAAATATTTTCTCTGTACCTGCAAAAGAGGCTACTGCTGTCAAAAGCTGGTTTAGCACTTCAGCAAACTCTGGACCCAGATGCTTGGCCAGTGACTTTCATCAGTTCAGTGGTTTGACTTTGTTTACAATCTGACAGCAAATATGTACTGCTTAATATTTTTTATTTAATTTAAACAATTTTAATAATTATAAGTTTACAAGTTAATATAGGTTGTCAAATTCAAATTGTAAATAGATTTAAAAAAAAACAAATGTGAATTTAATTAAAAGAAAAATCCAATTACAATTTTTAAAATTATTTTTTAAATCGATTGTTACACACGCTGCATGACTCACGGTGGTATATAAAAGACATTCTATAGAAATACTCAAGGGAAACCCTTTTGTAAAGTACATAGCATTTCAAAGAAGTTAAATGTATTCAAGTCACAGATGACTGTACCAGGAAGGTTAACTGGAGAACACACTAGTAAGCCCTTCAGAAAATAAGGAACGATTACCTATCTTTTGTAACTGTTGCTCTTCGAGATGTGTTGCTCATGCCCATTCTATTGTAGAGCGCGCACCCACATGCGTAGTCATTGGAGACTCTTGCGTTAGCGGTACTCATAGGGCCAGCTGTGGCGTCCTCTGGAGTGCCGCGTTCATGCCACGGTATATCAGATGCCACCAGCCCTATGCTCTTTCAGTTCCGTCTTGCATACAACTCCGACAGAGGGGCAGGAGGGTGGGTAATAGAATGGCCATGAGCAACACGTCTTGAAGAACAAGAGTTACAAAAAGGTGGGTAACCAGTTTTTCTTCTTTGAGTGCTTGCTCATGTCGATTCCATTCTAGGGGACTCACAAACAGTGCCCTTGGAGGTGGACTCAGAGTTCACAGTCTTGCAGATTGGAGCACAGCTCTGCTGAAACCAGCGTCATTTTGGGCTTGCTAGATCAACGCATAGTATGAAGTGAATGTGTGGACGGACAACCAGGTCGCAGCGACAATTTCTTGGATCGGCACCTGAGCGAGGAAGGATGCCGGGTATGCCTGCGCCTTAGTTGAACGAGCCATCACGATTGCCAGCGGGGGCACCTTCGCCAGCTCATAACAGTAGCAGATTCAGTCAGTGAGCCACGATGATATTCTCTGGGTAGACATTGGGCAACCCTTCAGTCTGTCTGTGACAGCAACAAACAACTGCACTGACTTACGGAATGGCTTCATTCTATCTGTGTAGAAGGTCAGTACCCGCCTGACATCCAGGGTATGCAGCCTGCGTTCCTCCTCCGATGCATGAGGCTTAGGGCAGAAGACCGGTAAATATATGTCTCAACCAGTATGGAACTGGGAGACGACCTTGGGCAGAAAGACCGGGTGTGGATGCAGCTGGACCTTTCCTTATAGAAGATTGTATAAGGCGGTTCCGATGTGAACACCCTGAACACCTCCGGGCCGAAGTTATAGTGACTAGGAAGGAGACCTTCCAGGAGAGAAGCAGAAGGGAGCAGGAAGCCAAAGGCTCGAAGGGGAGACCCATGAGCCTTGACAGCACCAGGTTCAGGTCCCAAGGGGGAACCACTCCTGGACATGCGGGTAAAGGTGTTCCAGGCCTTTCAGGAACCATGCCGTCATGGGATGGGTGAAGACCGACCTGCCTTGAAACGGAGGGTGGAACGCCAAAATGGCCGCCAAGTGTGCCTTGACTGAAGAAAGCGACAAGCCCTGGAGGTTAAGGTGCAGCAAAATAGTCCAGGATGTCCTGCAGCAGGGCTTCCGCCGCACAAGCGTGACGAGCTGCGGCCCAACACGTGAACTGCTTCCACTTTGCCACATAGGTAGCCTGGTGGAGGGTTTCCTGCTACCAGCAGGACTTGCTGGACACCAGTGGAACACCGCTGCTCATCCCCACTCAGCCACGCAGTAGCCAGGCTGTCAAGTGCAGCATTGCCAGGTTCGGCTGCAGCAGATTGCCGTGGTTCTGGGACAGGAGATCCGGCCGAAGAGGTGGCTGCAACGGGGTGGCTGCCGACAGACTCAGCAGCGTGCCGAACCACTGTTGCCGAGGCCACGCTGGGGCTATGAGGATGACAGCCGCTTTGTCTTGCTTCACCTTTAGCAAGACCTCATGGATCAATGGCGCCGGCAGGAAGGCGTACATCAGCGCTCCCCACCATGGAATGAGGAAGGCGTCTGACGGGGAGCTCTTGTCCCTGTCCTGCAGAGAACAGAACACTTAACAGGTACTTCACAACTAACTAACAAACCATTAACTATTTACAGCTAGAAGCACAAGGCTAAGGTAGAAGGGAAACCTCTGGCCGCTTGCGAGAAAGGGACAGAGGTGCTCCGACTGACCACCACAGGCAGTAAGAAGGAACTGAGAGGGCGCAGGGACGGCGGCACCTGATGTACCGTGTCATGAGTGCGGCTCTCCAGAGGGCACCACAGCCGGCCCTATGGATACCGCTAAGACAAAAGTCTCCGACGACCGCGCATGTCAGCGCACGCACACCTACAATGGAATGGACATGAGCAAGCACTTGAAGAAGAACATTTAAGTTTTTATGCTCACTAGTTTTAAAAGATACGCATGAACACAAAACAGTTATTTACCAATTTCAGAAAGTAAATTCCTCTTCACATTCAATATGATATAGTCACTACTACTATATAAATACATCACAGCTAGCTAATAACTCATGCAGATGTGACTTCTGCTCAGTTTCATTGTTCCCATTTAAGTATCCTTCTGGCAATGTTTAATTACACTTAGCACAACTAAAGACCACAACGTATAAGGAATATATATCCTAATTTGTTCTTTCCTGTAGCATGTTGTGTCTGTATGTCCTACTGTCATCAATCCTTGGTTTTGTTTTCATGGTCTACTGTTTAAAACACATTAACTAGTTGAGGTAAACCCTAGTCGGGAGTCTAAGGTTCAGCTTGACCAGGTAATTTGCCTTGTCTACATTAGGATTTTAGCGCATATTAACGAACATGTTAAAACCACACCTTTTTTCCTAGGTTGAAGTTACACTGGGGAACAAAGCAGAAATTGGCGTGGCTGTCCATTCAGAGTAATTTTTTTCTAAGCGTCAGTGTTTGCGAAAGAGGCTCAGCCAACAAGAAACAGCTGCGTGAGCATCCCTGTATCACCTTAGGAAGGGGCTTCAACCGTGGTGTGCAGAGACCCCCTCTAAGAAAAGTCAAGTCTCTGTCCATGCAGCTCTTGGCTTCCCTACTGAGTATAATATAAAGAAATCAAATCAAGAGGAGCTCAGTCCTAAAAATAATTAGCATATGATGCTTTGGTTGTTCAAAAATGTTTTGATTTCAGATTTTTTTCTGGGCCTGATCCCATCTCAGTAGAGCCAGGTGAAGTCTACTGACTTCAAAAGAGATTTGGACCAGGAATTTTGGCAAGCATTTTTCTCACCATTGTTCAAAGATTTTCCCCATCACTGTGCATTCGAGTGACGCAATCCCATGGTAACGGACAGGCAAAGGCTTTCATTGCTAGTCTTAATGCACATTTTTGGAAAAGTGCCTAACACATTTTTTGAGCAGCAGAGTGGAGCAGCTCGCAGCATCTATTCAGTACATATACAAAAATTGTTCTTTATATCAGAATTACTCCAGTTCGCTGTTGGCCGATTCCCCTCTCCCTCCCCCTCCCCCGCAAAGGTACACTTCTTTGGGCGCTCTTTATACCCCGCATTGCAGGAAGTGGTTTGTGATGCTCAGATGAAATAACGCTATAGAAGAGCAAAATATTAACCTGAGGTCAGAATGAATGTGAATGCACATTTGTAACTGACTTGGAAGAATACATTTTTGAGATATGCAGGACATGATAACAAAGACATAAAAAACTTCTATTTAAACAGTATTACGGTTGTAGAAGAGACAATGTTCCTCATCTATGGGTTTTTAATGTTCACATCACCCTAGTAGTTAGGAGCATATGATTCAAAGTTGTTCATATATAGAAATAACTTGCAGTAGGGAAAAGGATTTTCTTTTAAGAGATGGGGTCCCCTAGATCAGGGGGTTCTCAACCTTTTTCTCTCTGAGGCCCCCCTTGACAGGCTATAAAAACTTCAGGGCCCAGCAGGGGCAGGGGGGGCGCCTTGGGACAGGGGCCTTGCGAAAAGGTGTAGTTTGACTTCTATTTGGGGGGTCAGGGGTCATTGGGGCTCAAGCAACCTCCGCATGGTGGGGTCTAGGGAGGGAGGGAGGGAGTTTATATATTTAAATTATAACTCAAAGGTGGGGGGCTTAGCTCAAAAAGTTTGAAAACAGCTTAGAGTGCAGGGAGGTGGTAGCTAGGGGCTGTGTGTGGGCAGGGAGAGGGGCACTAGGGGCTCAGGGTGTAGGGAGAGGAGTATTAGGGGCTGTGCGCGGGCAGGGAGAGGGGCACTAGGGGCTCAGGGTGTAGGGAGAGGAGTATTAGGGGCTGTGCGCGGGCAGGGAGAGGGGCACTAGGGGCTCAGGGTGTAGGGAGAGGAGTATTAGGGGCTGTGTGCGGGCAGGGAGAGGAGCACTAGGGGCTCAGGGTGTAGGAAGAGGCGTATTAGGGGCAGTGTGCTGGGAGGACTCCCCTGCTGTCCCTGTTCCCGGAGGAGTCTGCCAGCCACGGAGCTGGGTCTTCCCACCCAGGGGGCTCTTACCGGCTGCCTCTGCAGGAGCAAAGGGGGCTGGGAGCTGATGAGCAGCTTCAACCTGGGGCATGAGCAGGAGAGGAGGGAATGCTGCAGCTGCCTGCTCCATGGCACCAGCCAGAGCCACAGCTGCCCCGCACTGCCTGGCTCCGGCTTCCCACCTCCAACCTGGCCCGGGGGCGGGGAGAGGAGATGAGGGGGGACTCGGGGGACGTGTGGAGGTGCCCCCAGGACTGCCTTGATCTTGCGCTGCAGTTTGGGGGGGAGGGGGCAATGCCCTCCATGTCCCCAACTCTGCCCACCATGGGCTCAGGGTTTCTGGTCCACAGGGAGCACCAGGGCTCGGGGATTCAGCCCCATGCCTCCTGGCTTCAGCCCGGTAGGGGTCACGGGCCATGAATCGGGGCTTCAGCCCTGCACCTCCCCCGGCTTCAGCCCAGCAGGGGGTGCCAGGGATCGGGGCTTCAGCTGCGGGGGCCGTGGCCCCCTTGAAAGGGCAGGGAGTCCGCAGACCCCTGCCCTAGATCCTCTTGGAGGAGACTCTTCACCTGGATCTCATTCCATCTTACAGAGGAAGGTTCATTAATGGGACCCTTTGAAGAGCTTCAGTAGGATTTGGTTCCACATTTGTGGAGGAGACTGATCAAGCAGGGGGAGGCCTGCTGGGCTTGGAATGGGGAAGGATGCACATTAGTCCTCCTGCAGTAAAGCACTTAAGTAGATGCTGCACTTAAAGAATGTATTCAAAGTCAATGGGACTGCAAACGCTTTCTGAACCAGGGCCACTGTCTCTACATCAACCCCTGGGATTACCAGGAAAAGGGAACAGCCTGAGGTTTATGTGCTGTAGCTTGTTCATTTCCCACATGTCCTCTGTACTTTGGGTTATTCTCTCTTTCTAGGGAATTGATATTAACCTAAAAAAAAAAAAACTAATCAAGAAAAGCAATATCCTCTGAACACATTCCACCCACTTTGGTTTCAGAATAATTCTAAGGACACACACTCAATCCTAAAGTTCTTCTCAGTATACTAGATGCTTAAACCCCATACTCACTAACTTCTACAATCTCATCTTGGGTAACACACAGGTCAATTAATTGGTCATTTATGAAAGATGGATCTAAGTTATCTGGACACTGCCGACAAATAGCTTGTTCTCTAATCAACTTGGATTTTAAGATTTAAATATCCAAGTAAAAGGGTATACATAATTGTTACAGTCTCATCTCGCTGAAGACAGAGCTGTTAGGTGAAGAGAAAACTTCAGAAGAGTACCCAGAACATTCAGCAAAATGGAAGGACACAAACAAATTGAAGCATTCACGCTTTCAGCTCATCAGAGGCAACATACAAAGCTATTCTACGAGGATTGCATCAACATTTTCTGGAGCAAGATCAGACTCCAATGCACATGATGAATCTAGGTGATCTTGAGAGAGCCTGGAACTTTTTACTGTACAATCAGACCAACTGTCACAATAAGGATGAAACCTGTGGGCTACTGGGTTACCAAACCTTTGGCATCGGTTGTATTTGTATTGTTTCCCTTTGTGTGTGTACATGTGTTCTAGCAACTGGCTCTTTCGGAGAAATTTGTGGCCACAGACTGTGCAACTGATTTTTCTCTTTCTTGAAAAAGAGAAGTTGCAGTTTAACTCCACAGGCTCAGTGTCTTTGGAGATTAGCGACAACTGGCCATACTGTAACGGCTCTGTGTTACTATGGCTTGGACGTTCTGACGGATGCTCATTCTCTTTCAGTAGGAAGGCACCGAGCCGGTGACTTTCAATAGCTTCCCCCTTTTCAGTAATAGGCTGCACTTCACCAAGGTCATTGCTCTCCAGGATGGAGGCTGGGACGCCAAAGGGAAGTGAGCCAGAGACGTGAGTGTGCAGGTGTTCCCGCAAATTGCCACGGGAATCAAAACGCTCCCCACAGTAATGACATAAATGCATTTTGAGATTAGTTTTAGAAACATCTGGAGAGGGCGACGTGTGACTTTGGGACACCACTGGCTCGGGGTCACATTTCTCCTGCTTTATAGACACAGATGATTTCTGAAGCTCCTCCACTGGTTTGACAGCTGCTTGGGTGGAAGGATGGGTGATCTGTTGTTCGAGGGTACCATCATCTAGTCCAATGGCAAGTGAGAGCTGTAACTGTGGGTGATCGCCCTGGTTAGCAGACCTGTTGCTGGCATTTGTCAGATTTTCTTTTGCTCCAAGACCTTCCTTTGTTGCTTTGTGTGCAGTTGAGATCTGAATTCCATATAAGTTTGAAGACTGCATCGTCTCTGGGGAAAGTATCTGGTTCATTTTAATTGCAATGTGGGAAAGGTAGTCTGCATGGAGAAATCGAATGCCCTCCTCCAGCCGGCTGGGGTTGACTGTCTGCTTTGGACCTTTTCCAGTGTACATGATGTGCAACAAGTAGCTGAATATGTCCGGTTGGATATCTGTAGGCTGAATCTTTATGCATTCACTGTTTAAAACAAAACACATGATTAAATATATCTGTTTCTCCAAACGATAATTCTGGCCATTATTTAAGCGTTCATGTGGCCCATCATTTACTTTGAGAGAACATTAGCTACCTTTCCCAGATTCAGAATAAATCTGACACATGCACAAAGAGACGGACATGGGCATAATTTACACGTGCAATTATAGTGACTGCGTGCAAAGCTGTATTAATTGGGCACGAATGTGACCAGTTAGCCATACACTCACTCATTTGTATATGCAGTGTAACTTTGCATGCCACTGCAGTAATTGTTTGCAAATTATGAATTCACATATTGTGTGTGATTCTGAAAATCTGGACCTAAGTCTATTGCTATATATTTAAATAATAATTCATTATTAAATTCAATAATTAAATAATGAATTCAACGAGGTGGACTGATTTAAATCAAAGTGATTTAAACCATCAATCTTAATCATGATTTAAATTAGCAAGGAGGAAACTTTGATGTAAATCATCAATTTTAAACATGTTTTGCACTTGTACTTTTTAGCTATTTTCCTAAAGGAAGGTTGATTTTCATTGCTTGGCAACCATTAAAACATGTTGATTTGCAACTAAATATAGCCTTTTCACTAAGTGTCATTATTTTTTTTGATAACCAGGAGGATACACTATATCTATACACATTTATTTAAGCAATTTGATAGATTAACTTGCATTTATTCAGATTTTTGATTATTACATTTATTATGTTAGAACGTGGTGAATGATGCATTTCCTATTTACTAGATGATTACTTGTGATTTGTGTCAAGCTCTTTTGGATGGATATTCAAATTCAATTAAAAATGCACATAAACAACATTTTAAAAATTTAATTAAATACAACTACTTTAAATGTGCTGGATACATAAGAAAAAAGTGCATTAAAATTAGCAAAACATATTTTATATTAAAAACTTGCTAATTTATTAAACAAAGGAAGAAATTTCTGTAGTTAGTGACTTGAACTGATTGTTTCTGGTCACCATGTCCTTCAAATTTTAGAACAAGTAGATCTCATCCTTAAACACCTAGTTTTTATTCATAGTTTAGAAAATGAAGATGGTTTTCCTGTTTTTCTTAACTTTGAATGAACTAGTCATTGAACTGAGCGAGTTGAATAAACTGAAATGAAGAAAATATTCTCTCTGCACCTGCAGAGGAGGCTTCTGCTGTCAAAAACTAGTGTAGCACTTCAGCAAACTCTGGGTCCAGATGCTTAGAGAGTGACTTCTACCAGTTCAGTGGTTTGACTTTAAAACATGGCAGCAAATATGTACTGCTTAATATTTTTTTACAATATTTAATTGGCCTTAATAGATTATAGTAAGTTAAGCATTAAAATAGGTTGTCATAAATTCAAAACTATTTTTACATAGGTTTCTTTTAAAATAAACCTGTGTTTAGTTTAAATAATATATATATATATTGTTAAAAATCATTGATTTTTATCCACTCTGCATTACATTAGGTATATATTTTATCAGCTTTATGTCCCAATGTCATTAAATGGTATTGATTATAATGAACACTCAGCACTAATCTCTCACTCCCAGCCATCAAAGCACTTTCCAATTTCCAAATTTTAATCACAGAGACTTCAACATCGCTGAAGGAGTAATTGCAGATAGGAAAGTGAGCACACAGACAGAGACCAAATCTGTAGACAGCAACTCCATGTCAGAGGCAGGATTAGAACTCAGGAGCTATCCCGTGTAACTACAAAATCTGACCACTTTGTACCCAACTGCGGTGCAGCATCTGAATGTCACCATGAGGTGACTGATATACAGGGCCGGCTCCAGGCACCAGCCTGGCAAGCAGGTGCTTGGGACGGCCGCTCCGGAGAGGGGCGGCACGTCCAGGTATTCAGCGGCAATTCAGCGGACGGTCCCTCACTCCCGCTGGGGGCAAAGGACCTCCCACCGAATTGCTGCCACAGATCGCAATCGCAGCTTTTTTTTTTTATGGCTGCTTGGGGCGGCCAAAACCCTGGAGCCGGTCCTGCTGATATACAAGGCTCTATGACACTTGAAATGAATTGATGGTCTCAGTGCAGTCTGTTAACTCTAAGTGTCTGCAGCACAATATTGCACTGTCACCCTTGCTAGTAGTTGCAACAGCAAGGACATGAACTGAGTGAGTTTGGAAACTGGACTACACCGGTCTCCCCAGAGCCATTTGGTGACGGAGTGTGGGAGGAAGCTTGTCCAGCCATCAGGCATGCTCTGTGTACTCTGTAAATAAATACAAAGTTAGTTCCCAGGCCTTACAGGTCAACAGTAAACACGAACTCTGAACTCAATTTTATTTTTAAAACTTCAACGTTGGTCCAAATGGTAAGCCAAAGTATTGTATTTATTTCTATGTACACACAACTTCAGTGAAAAATTCTAGGCATTTGCCGCTTAAGAAAGCTGTGATACTTCTTCAACTTTTGTTTCTCTGTTCATCCCTCTTTAAATGTGCAGCAATGCCAGATGTTGGACCTGAACTTTGGCTTATGCTGATTAAACAAGTAAGATCAAAAGGACTTTCTGACACTACATTCTAGGTTGGAAATGAACTGGTTTTAGAAGGTTACAACTCCATAATTGTTTTATGTAACCAACCCCAAGTCATCTAATCCCTTGCTAATGTTCCTTCAGAATTTAATTCCCTTTGAAGAATAAATTTTAAAATGCAGAAAAAGATGTATGTTCTTACCTTGTCTGGTGAATAAATATCATCTTAAAGTAGTTTGAAAAAGCAGCTAGCACTGCTCTGTGGGCCTTGAAGTAAACATCTCCTATTGCAACTGTACAGTCACAGAGAAAACCAAACTCACGCTGCATGTTCAACTGCTGCAGGAGGACTAGACTGTGACTAGCTGTATCCATGGCGTTTCTAAAGGCAAAAGAGGACAAAATTTGAGTTCTTGGTGAAGTGAAGATAATTGTAAGTAGTATCAAAGACCAGTTTATTTCACTAAGGAAGTTATAAAGGCGCATAGTGTGGAGGTCATACAAAACCTAACGAGGTTCTCTGACAGTGCAGTATGTTAACATCTGCCAGGTGGTATGTACACCACAATTTAGTAACTTCGCCCACTGATATCATTAGGAATGCCCCAAACAGTCTACTGAAATTGAAAAATGATCCTCTATTTTCCTTTGTGCTGGGTAGAAACTCCAGATTTTTTTGTTAAAAAGAACATGCTTCATCTAAACAGTCTAAAGTTACCAAACCTTAATGTCAAATGGACTCTGCTTGACTTCTGACCTTTCCCCCAGAACTGAAACTACTATAGAATAAGAAAACCATTTATCCAAGTCAGTGACCTCTATTCACTGAAGGTCTGCTACATTCTCTGTGGAACCAAAACTTCCACTAAGAGTATGTCTACACTACAATGTAAGCCTGGGCTCAGACTCAGATTTAAGCACAAACCCCCATCTATCCACACATAAGTAGGGCTGACTCCAGACCAGTGAGCCTTCAGTACCCAGGCCCTAGCTGGGGGGCAGGGTCCCACTGCGAGTCGGGTCCAAACTTTATCATTTTTCAGTGTGGACGCAGCTCCGGGCCAGGTCTCCAGACTTGTGCTCTGAGAGTCCAACAAACAGTACCTCACAATCCCCTGGGCCAGTGTTTCTTGCCTTTCTATCCCAAGATTAGCCAATCAACTCCCAGGAAACAAACGCAACCTCCCTCCCCACCTTCACAGCTGCTCAGTGTTTAACCTTTCCATTTCATTCTGAACTGAACAGAGTTAACTGTTCCCTCCCTGCATTAGTTATGACCAGTGAGAAGAAGTGGTCCTTTGCTGAGCACAATGGTCATGGGACCATAGTCAGATTCTGGTAAATCTCTCGTTTGAGACAAACAAGACATTTGATTTCTGGAAGAGTACCAGAAATGACCATGTGTACCATGAAATATTGGATAAGTCAGCTGTGTTGGGGATTCAATGGATTGAAGCAGAGGGGCGGATCTCATGGCTCAAGACAGACTATTGGAAAACCAGGGATGAGAACTGCACTTCTAGGAACTTCCTGTCATCCTGCCTTTTACAAGGAATTTGACCAGATGCTGGGAATTGCACTGAACCCACAATGGTTCACAATAGCCTGATGAATGGGGATGGCGACCTTCTAACCCACCGAATCTAAGGGCTTGTCTACATTTTAAACACAGCAGAGGTACGGCTGCAGCTGTGCCACGTCAGTGAAGATGCTGTCTACACTCACAGGAGGGATTCTCCTATTGGAATTGGTAATCCATCTCCCCGAGAGGCGGTAGCTAGGTCGACGGGAGAATTCTCCTGTTAACCTTGCGCTGTCTACAACAGGGGCTAAGTCAGTTTAACTGCCTCATTCTGGGGTGTGGATTTTTTACACCCCTGAGTGAGGTAGTTATACCAACATAATTTCCTAGTGTAGACCAGGCCTAAAATAGTATGGGAGGGGAGCTAGCAGCTGCTGGATCAAGCTCATGAAGTGACTCTGATGCTCACACCAGTCCCCAAGGAAGCTTTGCTGCCGGAGCAGCCACAACATGGCCAGGGTCCATACTCTGAGGAACTGTTTGATATGGCCTGGGGGAAGCAGCCTGCAGCAGAAATAGTAGCAGAAATAGAAGTAGTGATGAAGCTTGGTAAGTTTCGGTCTCCATGTTTGTTATTAACATACCAATGGGAGAGATGTCCAGCTTATGACCCAAGGAAATTTGGGGATTGGTCCTGCTTTGAGCAGGGGGTTGGACTAGACTCCTGAGGTCCCTTCCAACCCTGCTATTCTATGATTCTATGAAATTATTGTTACAAGGTGCAGATAGCAGCATGTATCAGCTAATGGTGGAATGCACGCCAGCACCATGGTGAGTCCCACCCCTGACCACCACGCGGAATTCAGAACGGATACCGGGAAGTGCAAACAACAGCAAAACAAGCAGTTGTGAAAACATTTTTACTAGATATTAGAAAGACCCTTACATTGCCTTCTCTGACAGTACACCATATCATACAAATCAGCCATGCCAGAGCGGACCAAGCCACCTGTAAACTGTACCAAGGGTGCAGGGGAAATGTAGTCCATGGGTGACAAATTAACTCTCTGAAATACACCAGGGGGTTGTATGTAATCCAGAAATGTGTCACAGATGGGGGCGGATGTGTGTGCTTTATAATTCTTTGTTACAGAAGTATGCGGGGAGGATTTAGGTAATGCATTCCCTAATATGAGTCGAGGTGGGAGGGATAGCTCAGTGGTTTGAACATTGGCCTGCTAAACCCAGGGTTGTGAGTTCAATCCTTGAGTGGGGGGTTTGGGGCAAAATCAGTACTTAGTCCTGCTAGTGAAGGCAGGGGGCTGGACTCAATGACCTTTCAAGGTCCCTTCCAGTTCTAGGAGATGGGATATATTAATTAATTAAGGAGTCCCTGTTGTGTGTAGACACCTATGGAAATCTGTCTGTAAACCCACTGGAGGTAGCCAGGAGAGGAGTAACTATCAAATTCACTGTGATCACAGCCATAGGGAAGTGCTGGGGGAGGAGAGAACAAACAGGACCTGGCTCCCACTACTTTAATTATCCTGCTGAGTCTGACGTTCCCTTTGACATGACCAGAGACGCTATTATGTGTCTACACTACAGTGAGCGCCTAGCACAATAGGGCCCTCCCTGGTCCATGCCTTGGGATTCTGCACGTTACACCAATACACGTTATTATTAATAATAAAGAATAATAATACTGCACTGCCGGATCTAGTTCCTCCTGGCCTCGTTTTACACGGGTCTGCACCTCTCGGCAGCTGGCGGCCCAGTCTCACACGCACACAGTCCGTTGCGGTTTAATTTCAGACCACAGCAGCAAGCCCGCTAGTTTATTACGTGGCTGCTGCTCACAAGCTGCCATGGTTCATCCGGCCTGCAGTCTAGCTCATGGGTCATGTCATTCCCCCTCCCCATCACCGACTCACGCCCGAGCCATTGTCTTGCAAAGCCCCAGCGTTAAGCTCGGACGCATCTTGCAGGAATGCGGGCAGCCCCGGCGGCGCCAAGCAGCCCCTGGGACGCACCAGGCAGGCGGGAGCCAGCCTCCGGGATGCGGCTGCAGTTGCACAACAGAGG